GTCAGCGCTGTGTCACTGAGCTAAACTTATGTTGTCGTTTATTACTTATTTTACGATTTTTTTTACTATTATCATTATTGCAGTTCTTATTATCATCAGTGCTGTTATTGTTTTCTTATTGTTATTATTATTATTATTATTATTATCATCTTTATTGTTGTTGTTATTGTTATCATCATTATTAGTATCAATATTGTTATTATCATCATTATTAGTATCAGTATTATTATTATCATCATTATTAGTATCAGTATTATTATTATCATTATTAGAAGTATTGTTGTTATTGTCTATATTATTATGATGATGACTATCATTATCATTGTTTTATTATCATTATTACCTCCTCCAAGGAGGCTATTTTTTTTGCTAGTGTTGGTTAGTTAATTTGTTGGTTGGTCGGTTTGCAGGATAACAAAAAGTTATGAACAAATTTACCTGACGTGTCTTGGCCAAACATAGATGCCATTAAATTTTGGTGTTGATCCGGATCCAGGAATGTTCTAGATGATTGCATAGTTACCCCTTTTGCCTTGGTAATAGAGGTAATTATCATCATTACCATTATTACCTTCGCCAACGAGATAATGTTTATGGATTTTTTTTTTTTTTTTTTTTTTTTTTTTTTTTTTTTTTTTTTTTTTTTTTTTTTTTTTAGCGACCCTATTGCCTTGGCGGAGGTATGCGCGCGCTCTGAGTGTTCTAGTAACCATTACAATTATTTTAAATTCCATCAACATTAACATTATCATTACTATCATTATCAGTTTGGTATGTTTATAAGGTATCACCCGGTGTTATTCCAGTGTAGATGGTCTTACTTACAATGCTAATGATGGTAATAAATGATGATGATGAATATATGAATACTATTTGTTATGCTGATACTGCGGATTCGAATGCGAACACTTTTACTATTAATATTAACAATAATAATAGCATTGATGATTGTGATGATGATAATGATAATAGCAACAACAATGATAATGATAAAAATGCTAATATTAACACCGGCGGCAGCAACATCAATAATAATAATAACGATAATAACAATAATAACAATGATAATGATAAATAAAAAAATACGAAGAATAATAACGATAACAAAACAACAGCACTAGCAATAATAATGTTGGTGGTATTAGTAATAATAATAATAATAATAACAATGGCAATATTGATAATAACAAAATTAAATAAAATGATAACCATAGTGGTACTGTCATTAGTAATAACTATAGTGTCAGAAAAGTAGTAACGATGGTAATGCAATCAACAGTAGTGACACATAAGCATAAGGATAATAATTACTATAATAAAAATGATAATGATAATAACAATAGCAATGACAATAATGTTGGTTATAACATTGACTGTACGAGTTCTAATGATAGTAACAATGCTAAAGAGAATAGTAATAAAAGTAATAATAGTTATAGTTATGATGGCAATAGTAATAACGATAGTAATGAAAGTAATAGTTATAATCATGATGACAGTAGTAATAACGACAGTAATAAAAGTAAGAGCTATAATTATGATGACATTAGTAATGACGATTGTAATGATAATGACAACAATAGTGATGAAATATTATATTAATGTGATAATGATAATAATTACTAGAAGCACTCAGAGAACGCATACCTCCGCCAAGGCAACAGTGTCACTTACGGAACAAAAATATTCACACTTTAAGAATTATATTAAAATCATGTCTTTTTCAAGCACACTGGTGACGTCCGTAAACATAATCTTTCCGGAGGTAATAAAGGTAATGATAATAAGAATAGTTACCCCTATTACCAAGGCAATAAGGGTAATTATGCAATCACGTACACAAAAGACACACCTCTGATAAGAAAAAAAAATCTGTTCATATTTTTTTCGAGTTATCCTGCTAATCAACTAACAAACAGACTAAAAAAAAATAATGCTACCATAGAATATAACCTCTTTAGCGGAGGTAGTAGTAATTGTAGCAATAATGATAATAGTGAGAATTATTATCGTCGTCAATATTATCCTTATCATTGCCATTATCATCATTATGATTATCATTATTATTGTCATTAATAGACATTATCATTATTATTGAAATTAATAGTCATTATCATTTATGACAGCAATAATAGTAACGATAATAATAATGAAAATAAAGATAATGATAATAATATTAACATTAATAATGATAGCAAGGATAATAGCGATAATAACTAGAAGCATTGAACGAGCGCATACCTCCGCCAAGGCAATAGTCAATGAAGCAACAAAAATATTCACACCTGAAGAATTACCTTAAAATCACGTCATCCTCGAGTGCACAGGTCACGCCCGTAAACATGACCTCCGCAATAACAGAGACAATCACTTAAAGAATTCCTGAATACTGAACATTTAATGGCATCTAAGTTGGGCTGAGACACAACTCTGGTAAAAATTTCATTAAAAATCTGTTCATAAAAACTAACTAACTAACCAACGCTACCGAAAACAACCTAATTGGCGAGATAATAATGATAATGACAGTAATAATGATAATGATAATAACAATAATGATGATAATAATAATGGTAATAACAGTGACAATAATGATAACAGGAATAATAAAGTGGATGATGAAGATAATGATAATGATGATAATAGCAATAATGATAAGGATAATAGTTATTATTATTATCGTTATCATTGTTAATATCATTATCATTATCATAATCTTATCAATAATAGTAGTAATGATAATAATGATAACAATAATGATAATGATATAATAAAACTAGTGATATTAATAGTGGTAATGATAATGATGACAACAATGATAAGATATTAATAGTAATAATAACAATAACAACAATAATGATAGTAATATTGATGATAATAATAATAATGACAATGGTACTAATAATAATGATAATGATACTAATAAGGTTTATGATAATGATAAACTTAATGACATAAATGACAATAATAATAATAATGATAACAATTATCATTATTATAATCCTTTTTGTTGCTATTGTAATTGTTATCATTGTCATTATTGTTATTGTATTAGTGATGATGATGATAATAATAGCAATGTTAATCATAACAGTAATAATAATAACAATAATAATGATAACAATAGTGATGATAATAATGATAATAGCAATGATAATATTAATAATGATAATGATAATAGAAATAATGATGGTGATAAATGATAATGATAGCAATAAGAATATTTATAATAATAATATAATAACTGCATTCATAGTCATAATAATGGTAATGATAAGGATGATAATAATAATCATAATTTTGATAGTAATAATGCTAATAATAATAAAAATGATAATGATGATAATATTAATAAAAATGATAATGATGATAATAATGATAATGCTAATAATAATAATTGTAATAATAATAATGATAATAACAATGATAACGATAATAGTGGTAATAACAAAAATTATAATAGCAAATATGATGATAAGAAGACGAATGATAGTAATGATAGTGATAACGATAATTATAACAACAATAACTATAGTAATAATAAGAAATATAATAATGATAATAACAGTGATAATGTTAGCCATCATCAGAATGATAATATGTGACAGGATGATACTACAAGAATAAGTAATTAAGTTTCGCTGTCTTGACCTATGGCGATAGGGCCATAGAATTTCCTATAATACGATGGCCACTTTTGGAATGTTACGGTTAAGTTCATGATCTTGTTTTGTTGAAGTATTTTAACTTTTTATTGCTATTTCTTTATAATGAATATCAGTGCATTCGCTGTTATTGTCAAGATATGTATCAGTATTTGTAACGTCATCACTATACATGATATCCCTTCCATCGTTATAACTTTCATCATGGTGACCATTTTAATATCACTAATATAAACATTAAAACAGGCATTTTCACTAGCAGCTCAACAATTATCATTTCTGCCATTATATCTATACCGAATAAACGCAAAGAGGGTGCAACGTAAACAAGAAATTTACGTATTCATTCATTTACGTCTTTATGAATTGATCCAGCATATGGCGCATTCGTTTTCGTTTTTGTTTTTCATATCCTTCATACGCGAAATGCTAAAGGCCATAGCATCTCATTGCTATTATTATCTTCCAAATTCATACACAGGCTCTTATTTCGTTGCAGGATTAATTATGTACGTTAGTTTAGTAATTTTCAATAAGATAATTTTGATAGACGCACCCAGAAATTTTAATTAAGGGCGGGGTTGGAATTACGAATTGGCATTCCGTTCAGTAGCATTTGTCACACGGGTGATCGTAACTATGTATGAACAAATAAATTCCGATTTTTCCTAGATTGGAATGTCAGATATTTTGCACTATTTTTACAAAATGAAAATGTAGGTTACAATATGGAAACGCAGTGCGCTCGTTCTCTTTCTGCGTATAACACTGTATGCATAGAATAAAGCATCTCAAACTTATGATTTTTTATTAACTAAATTGTACCGAATTAAAGTAATGTGGATATACATCGAACTTTAATAACGATTATTACGAAAATGAGATATACAAAAGTAAATAATATACAAATGATATAGTTGCCGCTCAATCATTCAAAGAAAACGTACCGAAACCAAGACACAACACCTCGAAAAAATATAAAACATTTTTCATATAATTTAATTCCATACATTAAAACCAACCTTCCGAATATGAACGAGACACAACAAAACCCAAAACAATATTAGAAACCCACCTCGAATTTTTATTTTAAATATTTATTAGAAACACACGAGGGGGAGGGAGGAGGGAGGAGGAGGACGGGGAGGGGAGCCATTTCTCGTGCGTTTCTCCCCTATCCTACCACCCCCACCTTCCCTATACCCTGTACCCACCCCTCCCCTACCCTCCCTCGTCCCTATCACCCGCCCATTATTCCCCGCCCGTACCTCGACCCCCCTCCCCCCGACCCGACCCTCCCTCCCGCCCCCTCCTTTTTTCGAGCGTAGCATCAGTCGGGGAGAGAGGGAGAGCTTGCGAAGTCGAGCGCGGGAAACCTGCCGACGCCATCGCCGAACCCGCGTCTCTCCGTCCGCCCGCCTTTTCCCCGACGCCTCGCTCACCCGCGGTGTGTGCTTTTGCGTTTCTCTCGCTCGTTCTCCTCCTCCTTTCCTTCTGTCCTCCGTCCCACCCCTCTCTCTGTCCCTCTCTTTGCGCTCTTTCTCTTTAGACGCACGAGAAGGCTCCTTACCGAAAACGCACGCCCTTTTTCCCTCTCTCTCTCATCTCTCTCTCCTCCCTCTCTCCCCATACACTCTCTCTCTCGCTCTCTCTCATTCCCTCCCACTCTCTCTCTCTCTCTTTGCGTTTTGGCTCTTCGGGGCTATTCCTGTTTTCGGATTATGCGTTGGGTGTGACGCGCGCGCGTGTGTGTGCGTGAGTGAGGAAGATGTCGGTGCAGAATTACGAGAAAATCGAGAAAATCGGCGAAGGAACTTATGGCGTTGTTTACAAGGCACAGGACCGGGCGAGCAAGAGGATTGTGGCGCTCAAGAAAATTCGCCTCGAAAAGTAAGTTTTTTGTGTTTTTGGAGGATCGGGTTCGTCTCTCCCGTGTTTTGTATGGATTAGTGGATGTATTTTGGTGTTTTTTGGCCGGGTTTTGTTCCTTTTACGGCCGGTGGGAGAAGGAATGGTGGAGGAGTGTTCGGGAAATCGAAATTGAGAAAATGTTGAACGAGTTCGATGTAAGTTTTCGTTTAGCTCTCTTCTCGTCTCATTTTTTCCTTTTCCTCTCCCTGTTATGTATCAACCGACGTTTTTGTACGTTACATAATAGAGTAGAGAAAGATAAAACGAAAAGGAGGATAAGAAAACGGTAGTTTATTGTTGCCTCGTGGTGGATGTGCATAGGCCTACCTCGCGTGGGAGAAGCTCGGTTCGTCCACGCCGACTTACATCACGGTATTTCATTGCTCTTGCTCTCTGTAGACCTAAATTATCCTCTTTATTTATCTTCTCATTCCTTTTGGGGAGTTTTTTTTAATGCCCTGTAGTGTATTCGTTGGTTATTTATCTTTTCTGTTGGAATCTCATTGTTTGAGGCTTGGAGCTGGAATTTTTTGGTATCTTGGCTTGGGTTTTGAGCATTTTTGTTGTAGTTTGGTTGCTTATTTCGTGTTATAGCCTTTTGATGTGATTGTTTGTTACTTTTAGACTTTGTTTGAAAGTGGAAGAGAGAGAGAGAACCCAAGCATATATTTCAAATTGGAATCAGAAGCAAGGTAGATCTTTTCCCTTTGTAGAATTGGTTAATTTTGAGGCTAATTTTCATGGGTCAGAGCTTGTTTTATTATTCATTTTCTAATTTAGGCTAGTTTCTAAAGAATGAAAAAGAAAATGGGTAGTTTTAACTGAAATTAAATGTTGGTTGAGGTTCGATGCTAAACTTGAGTGCAGGAATGATAGTTATTCGCGTAATTTTGCCTTTTCTTTGTAAAATGTTAGTCTATCTGTTTTCAGGGCAAATAGCTGCATTTTTCTTGGAAATTAATCTTATATTAGCTATACATCTGTTTTTATCTTTCAAAGAAATTCCTTTGTCACATTTCTTTGTCAGAGTCGGGCATATTTTTCTCGTAGGCATTTATAGTAAATTGGTTTTCTGTTTTTTTGCTTTGGAATAAACTGCATAAGCATTATAAAAGGTTTCTAGTTGTTCTTTGTGGCAGTGTCTTTGTTTATAGACTTCTTTTCTTTGTATTGATGTTTTCTTAAACAAAGGAAGCCCAGTGTAATTGCTTCTTTGTTGTCTAGCCTGTGAAGAAAGGTGTGATTTATTAGTCGACTAGTTAAAGCTCGCTAGTTAAGATACATACACAAATCCAAGAAGAGTTCAGGAATTTCTGGAAAACATAATAGTTTAGTACAAAGAAAATGTAATGAAGATTCACTGAAAGGTCATTCACACTACACAGATTATGGAAATGCCTTAGGTTTATGTATTGTTCCATCCTGATAGACTTAAAACGTTCACATTAGCAAAATACAACCTGATAGTTGCCAACTCCACGGTATTTTGGCCAAGGCGTGTAAATATTGAAGTTTTAACATCAACATTCTTCAGCTTTTTTCATCGACAAGGTTAAGGTCAAGAAAGAACAAAACCTCTCTTAAATGGAAAATGTGTAAGTTTAAGATAGCTCCATGCTTGTTAGCTTGAGAAAGCAGCAAGTAATTGATAAGAGGAATGATTTAATTGGTAATGATTACAGCATTAATGTAGAAAGATTACATACTAGAGCTATTTCAACCTTCAACTGAAATAGTTGCATTTTGCCTGTTTTCAAGCTTTTGGTTTAAATAAGGCAGTGGAAGATAATGATATGAATCAGTGGTTTAGGGAATTTGGATTAGATTAGATAAAACTTGGTCAGGCAGGGTGTTCAATATTAGCTAGCACCCAGCGAAAATTCGTCATCTGTCGTCCTTTCGATTGCCGGGTACTTAGCAGGACAACAAAGAAAAATATTACTTTTATGCACCATTTAAAGACTTTTGAACATCCTGGTTAGGTATTATTTGAACATCCCTTCCGGTATGTTCAAGAGCAAATGCAAAATGTTTATAACTAGGTAACACGTAATCTTTCTTTTGGGGCATGTTATCCAAATAGGATATCCCTCTAAGAACAGCTAGTGAGTAAGAGCTCCTCTTTTGCCAACAGTAGTGGCATTACTTGTTACAGGCACCTTAGGCTGCGTTCAGAACTCCTTGTCTTGCTCGACCAGACTTGTCCAGGACCAGCAGGACAAGGAGGCCGCATTCGAAACCTCCAAGACCCTTTCTGCCCAGAATGCAACCAGCTATAATGTAAACATTCACTTTTTTTATCATACCGATCTCTTTATTTTACACGCTGCATAGGTTTTGTAACTCTTTTGATGCATTTTTAACTTACCTGCAATTGACAAACACACAAATATCTATTGATAACATCAATAAAGGGCCATAAAATTACCCACCGATATTTTGTGATTACCTGCAACTGTCAGTGTTTGCATACTAAGCTATTGTGACGTCATCACGTCCTGCTCACCCCCCCTTCGCTGGAGGGCGAGATGGACAACTTGTCCAGGACGAGAAAGTAGAGGGTCCTAACAGTCAAGACATCTTGTCCAACTGGTCTGGACGAGCATTTCCAAACACAGCATAACCCCACCCCACTCCCAAATTACATATAAATACAAGTGTTAAACTATTAGGTGGCAAAAGTGCAAATAGGGAAATTAATGATGAACCCTTAGTACTGTTACTGGCCATTATCCCATTTGGTTAATTTTACCCTGGGCACTGCGCAGAGATAGAGGGAAATGGACACAGCCACCTTCTCAAGCATAAGAAATTGTGTTATAAGTTTCCAAGAGCGAATGCGCTATAGGTACAGCTGCAGCAGCCTCATATTTACCACAAAATGTTGAAAATATTGGCTGCATTTCACTGTGCAGACACTAGGGCCACACAGCCAGAGTTCTTAATTTTTGTTTTCTATAAGTTGGCACAAAGTGCCAATAAAGGGTAGTATATTTAGCACAAAAGGAAAACATCTGCATATTGACACACGGACTAAGTCAGCTACTTCCTCACACAGCCATTAATATATTTTCTGTAAGTTGGCATGAAGTATTTGAAGAGGGGTACAGGGGACTCCCTTCCCATCTAGGTAATAGATAGACCGTAGGAAAGGTTAGGTTTAGAATTTTAGGTTCGCACAATGCCCAACAATTTAGGCATGTGCGAATAAACTGTTGGGCAGAGGAAATGTATTTTTTAAAATTTGGTAATTTTGAAGACCGCGACGCACCCTCGCAGAGACTAAGTCGAAAAAATGATGTTTTTCTGCATGAAATCCTATGATTTCATCGATTTTCGGCGTTGTTTCTTTTGCGAATGAATCGTTCAGGAGATCGAGTACCATTTCTCCATCGACGATCTTGATTTGATAGTAGCAGGGGGGCATGAAGTATATCAGGGAAATATGGGGTAAAAACAAGCTTAAATAAGAAGAATAACGATCAAAAATGCGTAAAACTAGCACAAAAAGCGCTTAAAATCGGCCAATGAAACTCTACGGATGTAACCGCATCTTTGAAAGTTTACGACTGACGCGAAATAAATCAAAAATCTACGGGAACCCAACCCACATTTCGGCAAAAAATCTACGGGAATTCACACGTTCCAACCCCCAAAAACGTATTGACCAATAAACCAACCAACCTAATATATCAATATAAATTGCCGTGACTAGGCGTGCCTTCGACACTGCCCGAAGGGTTGATGGGGGGCAAGCCCCCAACACCCCCAGGACACATTCTCTCCACCACGGTATGTACAGCAAGACAGAGCTGCATTCACACCGTAAAATAATAAACCAAATACCTTTATATCCGGAAACGTGAAACTTTCGTTTCTTTGTACTGTTGGATTGCTTCGATTTAATCACCTTTTTCGTCCTTTGGAGCTCTTGATGGGCTCAGATATAAAACTGGGATGGTTACTGAAGTCGAATTATTCTTCTATGCCACTGTAAAGGTCTTAAAAAAAGAACCCAGAATCAACACAACACTGGAAACGCAACATTTCTCACCGGCTTTCAATCTCGAAATGAGCGGGTTGGTGAGCTGTCAACCTGTGGCTGGCGCAAGAAAGTGTGAAACACTCGATGCGCAGGATTCGATATGAGGGTATAGATAAATATTAAAATATGCAATTGTAGTATAATAACATTACTAAAAGACTTTAAAGGTATAAATGCGTACCAGCAGACACAGATAATTAGCAAATATCGTTTTGACAAGCGCGTAATGATACACGGACTAGTTCGCGAACGCAAAAATGCGTTCGTGGGTCAGTGTCGTGTTTTCCTAGCAAGGTAAACAAGCTCAACTTTGAATTTGAAAGGCGGCGGCGTTATATTTTCCTCATTCAGCGGTGACTATAAGGCCGGTGCATCTTAAACTATACGTATTTTTCCCGCTCTATAATGTCCATTTTCCTCTATCTACGCGCGTCGCGGTCTTCAACCTCTACCATGTGCGAATAAACTGTTGGGCAGAGGAAATGTATTTTTTTAGGCATGTGCGAATAAACTGTTGGGCAGAGGAAATGTATTTTTTAAAATCTGGGTTGGGACTTCTGAAGGGTGCATCACTCAATAACGAAACTGCTAATTATTAGTACCATGGTTATTTGGGTAAATATATGTACAAGTAAAATTTTCAGTGATCCTGTTAGTATATTTTAGAAGTATAGGTAGTTATTCAGCAAAAGTAAATATAAATTTTATGATCATCTTATATTTTGGCCACAGAAGACAAATCCTTCTTAAGCAAGATCAAAGCATCAAGTAATTCTGTGGCTTCCAGACATGGTGCTCAAACTATTGTCCGTTGTGCATATTTTGACAGGGTAGAGCTGCAGTCTCTAGAATATATGGTGAAAGTATGTGTCCAAGAGTGACAAGTCTAGATATGATGGCATTTCTTGATGGCATAGGTAATTACCGAAATGTGTGTTTAATTATAGTTTATATACTTATGATTATTTCTGTTTCGTTTGCAAACTTTTGGAATTCAGTTAGAGAAGTATTTATTTATAATATACTAATTTTCGGGGTGGGAGTGTAATCCAGAATCTCCCATACAGGTACATTTCTCTCTTCATTTGATATTTATTCAATTTCAAGTACATTTTTTTTAAAGATCTCAATATTAGGTATTCAACAAATAAAAGTTTAGGTATGTAGTTAGCTTTTGAAGTCCCTCATTATAGAAATGAAATTGTAATAGGTTGTGAAGTTGTTAAGGATTAGTGGCTTTCAATTTAATAAATAAAAAGTAAACAACATGGTAAATACAGTTTTCTGTGACAGCAACACTAACCCACAATTATTTGACAAATTAGGGGTGAAAAACTTGCTGTTGTAGGGGGAAACTCAGGGTGCATAATTTTTTATTCTGCTTTCTTTTACTTTCCTATTCTTGTTTCAGTGCTTTCTTTTTGTTTGGTTTTCCCTTTCTGCCTCTCTGACTAATACAGTAATGAGGAATTTGCTGCTGTAAAATATGCTAGGTTTGGCCTGTATAGTAACATTTTATTAGTGTCTGTATGAATTTGATAGGTAAAGTTTTTATTTTTAAGAATTTTGCAAAGTTGCCTTCTGGTTAAACTTCAAGCCTAATTTTTAACATTTGCAAAGATCTCTCCTGGGGAAAGTTTTAAAGAACTAACTTGAACTTCAGTCTTTATTCTTTTGCATGGATGTAATTAAGCCTGTTACTTCAAATTCATTTGCTGTAGCCAACTAACTATTGAGGGATATATCTTGACTCCTATTAGTATTATTGAAAATAATGCATATTTGGGTGTTTTTTTATCCACATTTATTATCATCATCATTATCATTATTAAACATTTTATCTTCTCTTCCCTTGGTTTCTTTTACTGTATATTAAAGACCTGGGTAAACAAAGTAAAAAAAATCTACACAATATCAAATCTTAAAATGACTGTAATAAGGTACACAGGTCATTGACCCTTGTGACTTATTAATTTTGTCAGGCAGCTGTTGCTTGAGTATTTTTCTCAACCTCTTTTTTGAAGTGAGGAAAAGATTAGAGTATATTTGGTAAGATTGACTTGTAATAATGTTGCAAATCATCTTTATGTTAGATTAAACATTCTTGGTTGTGAAGTTCTGTATAGGTATATGGATTGAGACTAAAACTGGAGCCCATGTAATTCAAAGATGGAGTGAATATGTCACTGTGAAATAGAATTAACCATCATTTGTCTTCATTTGTAAATGTGACTTCAGGCTGATGACATTGTCATAGTAACAACTCTGTTTTAGTGGTCGGAAAAAGAGTTAACACTTTATGAAATAGAAGATGAATTGTTGTAGTTCTGAAAACCTCTTAAACAGTAATACAGCAGTTTGCTTACCCATAATTTGTTAAATTTAGACAAGATTTAGACTAATTCCTTGTTCATTGACAACTTGTAGCCATAGAAGTCAGAAAGTAAAACCATTTATATAATCAAAGCTGTCCTGTAATTGGATGTGACACTGCAGTAGTGCTCAGTTTTTTCTGCAATTCAAATTATAGTTGTTAGTTGGAAGAGCCTATCTGTCTGTGAAGATACTGACAGCAGTTTCAGATTTGGGAAGGTCATGGTCTTATTGTATTTAAAATTATAATTGAAATTATAATTGAACAAGAATAAGGAAAAGTGGAATGCAGTCCTTTGAATTGGGATCTCACTGAAACGGGCATGTGCAACTCTGTATGTTTGGGGGGGGGGTTGTATGTATAAAGTCAATTGCCATTGTAAAGTTTTCATTTCATCTCAAGTAGTTTAGTATCACATTTTCTTCTGTATTCTTACCATATACTTTGTTCTTTTTAAGTATTATGTATGTATGCAGTTTTTTTCAGGTATTTTTTTCCAAGGGATGTATACAGGTTGTCTTCTGGCGATCATTCACAAGTGATGAAATGTTTGGCTGACTAGGTACCTAGAGCTGTGCCTAGCAATATATAATGGCTATCACAGTCCTAGTTACCTAGTGGAGCAAACAGAAAGCTGCTAGACTTGACTGGGACAGGATGCTGTATGGAAATCATTGCCACGATAATTTTATGATGGATGAAAGAAATCATTTTATTTGAATAATTAAAAATTATAAAGAAAAAAATTGTACTATCATTTGAGGGGGGAAATGCTCTCTGCTACAGTATGACCCTGATCATATGCATATCAAATTTTAAGATACAGATTTTTAAGAAATAGAAACAAAGATGTTTGTGTGTGCATCTATATATACGTACATACACAGAAGTTACAGAAATGAATATCACCAACTTGGCAAAGATACTAATTAAAAATGTAAAGAATAATTGAATGAAACAAATGTGCATATAAAGGGAGTTACTGGTAGGGATGCATTGACATATATATAGTTGGGTAGCATGCTGGCTGCTGTGGTGGATATGTGTTCTTGGTCATAGCACCACAGGATTCAGCATAATATTCAATAGTTAGCAGCAGAGCCAACAGTAGTGTACTTAAATATAAGTACTGTTATTAGTCTGTGATATTCTGTATTTTGATTTTTGCAAAAGGTTTTGAAAGAGTGCAAATTTGGCTGGGAAAAATCCCTTTGGGGTATAAAGGAAGGAGGTTAATGTATCATCAAGTAATACCTAGACCCAAGTACACATTTTTTCAAGTTCCTCGTGAGTTAACATACTTCATGAGTATTTATCAGGTCATCAAATTTTGTGTGATGTCTGGTTGCAGTTGCAAAATTCGTTGACTCAAGACTAGTTTGGCTAAAGATTTACAGTTTCCTGGATGAGTTGAGTATTTACACAGTTGACCAGAAAACACTAGCCTCCTCCTCCTTTATAGGTTTGAAATTTCTAAACCTTTTGTAACAAATCTGTTGAATAAATTTAAGCATTTGTTTTGTTATAGGATTTGTTAACTTGTAACAACCTTTCACACATTGTAATTGAAGTAGAAGTAAGTTTTATAAAAGATGATATAACAAGAAGCAAATAAAACATATAAAATCTTTATGCTATACAACTTTGGATATGGTTTCTCTATGCTAAATGTATTTACATGCCAGTATTGTGTTGGCAGGTATTGGTTTTTGCTGCTTTATATATTCATTTTTGTTTAGGGGGTAATGTAATCTTCATTATTGGTGTAGAATTTTGTTTTTATACATTATCATCACCTGGCCAGACTTAACAGGGGGGGGGGGTCAGACTGAAAAGAGTAAGCAGTAGTGGTCAGATTTTTATCCCTTTTCTTTTTCTATTATTGGAAAAAAATAGGTTTGGTTGCCATACATTGACATTGCTGGCAACTTGCCCAAAATTGCACAGAGGTTGTATTACAGAAAATTTAAAATTAAGGAAAAAATAAGATATACAACCAAATGTTCCATATTTGTTTCTCCTTGCATCAAGTTATTTATTACATAGAGATATGATTAGGAGTCTGTGCAAGGAAAGTAAGCTATTTCCATGTGGATAAAGCAAATTAAATTACAAATATGGACTTTGGAGAATGGCCAGTTTACACAATAACTGTCACTCCATAAAAGTGTTCGCGTGTGCCTGGGATGTTGGCTACTTACATAACTCAGTGCTGTATTTTTTGGTACTGCAATTTCCATGGCACAACCAGAACCGACGGTTAAAACCATAAACAACTATTGAGTAACCTGGTGTGTGGGGGGGGGGGTTAAACATATTGAACATGTTGAACATGTTTCCTGTGTGTTTTGAGAGAAGCAAAAGTAGTCTTTATCTGGTTTTATGCAATTTAGATAACAGAATAATTTTGTATTTCTGTTTGTATTTCATGGTGTAGGATATCAACAACAGGTTCAGCATTATTTATCAAACTAAAACCTAACAAGCTCTCCAGCCTGTTTGTACCTCCAGCTGTACTACAAAGTAAAGTTTGATTGCTGGCATTTGAGGAGCGTGGTTTTATGTACCAGAAATTTTATATTTCATTGTCATTATCTCGAATACCAGTGCATAATTGAAAAACTTCAGTAACCCCTTTAGTATATGATTCAAAAAGGAGGGAAATTGCCATGGAGTACAAAAACAAAAGACAAATTGATATAATAGTAAATGTTTTTGCATTTATAAGTTTCTTGAGCATAGGTAGTGAAAAGATGACAGTATGTCATGAAATAATAATTATATTGTATGTGGAGGTGAAAGATGCTTCACACCACCAGAATTACAGCCTTCAAACTCATTTATATAATTCACAAAAAGATAGATGCAGGAAAGCATGATTCAGTGATTGGCTCAGGCTGAGAACCCATAAGAGAAGTGGTGGTATGGGGGTTGATAGAGGTGTGGCTGATGGAAACTTGCCAAGCTGTACATTTCATTCATAACAACAACAAAAAGTCGTGGGAAGAAATCCCAATAGTTTTTAACAAGCCTTTCATGATTGAGGCAATTTTATTATTATTATTAATGAAATTGAAATTTAGTTAATGATGAAAATATATCTATTAATGATTATTTTTTAAAAGTACTAGATTTATTATTTTACTTGCTTATTCCTTTATCCATTTATTTGTCTACTTATTTATATTGGTAAGAGTGAATATTTTCATTTGTTAAACTTCACTAAGGAACCTAAATATAAATGTTTACATACAGTATAGAAGTCTTCTATCCTGCTCCCTCCTGTATCTCTCCTCTTCGTTTCAGTACCCATTCTTTTGGTTGTTTTTGGATTGATCCTCACTAGTCATTTGTATCACACAATATAATTTCAAAAATGTTCTAATGCACAAGAATAACACATTTCCTCTCTATCTCCAGTGAAGCAGACGGAGTACCCAGTACAGCTCTAAGAGAGATAGCCTTACTCAAGGAACTCGACCATGATAATATTGTACGACTGCTGGATGTGGTGTATGGGGACCACAAGCTGTACATGGTGTTTGAGTATCTGAATCAGGTGAGTTGCACTTACATTACGTGTGTTAGGTTTACATAGTCCTGTCCACACTCGGGTGGGAAATGAAAGTCAAGTAAGGGACATAACCCATCCATAAGCTCGTGGATTGCAATAAAAATTAAAGTTGACAATTGTTCTCTATTATTCTTTGGTGTTGAATTTGAATACAATCCAACAGTCCTTTGTATGGTTATTTTCTTGAGTCAGTGGAATGAACTATAGCTTATGTACATGAAAAGAGATAGTGGTTAAGCAAAATTTAAATGTTTAATTTTCAGTAGGTTTTATTAATGATTGTTCTCTTTTTTGCAATGCTATCATCAAAGGATTCACAGTAGATGGTAAGATTTTAATTTTTTAAAGGCCATATCCTTAAAAGTTTTTGTATCAGAATGTTGGTGCCAAGTAATTTTTTCTTGCGCCTTGTAATTATCTATGGGGGACGGATTATGGATGAAGGTGTCAAACCTATCAACTGAGGTTGAGGAAAATTGTGATGAATTAGTCTAATGAAAGTAGTGATGGCAGATCTTAAATAATACCATATAAATGTGTTAGGATCTAACTCTAAGACTTTTTAGAATCTGTATTTTGATTAAGAAAAAGTACTGTCTATGAACTGATTGAATGGCAGTGTGCTGTGTAGTCTAGGCTGCTAAGCATATGATGATTGTTATCATTGCACACTGTTGGGTGAAATTTGAAAAGTATTGATAATGATAAAGAATAAGTGATGATAAATGTGGAATGGCAAAGTACTTACTGGTTAATCTTTTAAACTTCAAGGATCTGAAGAAGCTCTTTGATGAAAGCCGTGGTGGATTGCCATTGGACCTTGTGAGGAGTTATATGCAGCAGCTTTTACGAGGCATTGCATTCTGTCATGCTAATCGTATTCTCCATCGAGATCTGAAGCCACAGAACCTGCTTATAGATGCAAGAGGTACTGTTTCTCAGTTTTTATCTTAAGAATTTTAATTAGCTTTACAATATTTGTTTGTATTTTTTAAAGTAATATGAAGATAGATGACCATTAATTTCTTGTGAAAATTAGATTTGTAATTGTCATGTAAATGTATGCAGTGAATACCTCATCCTCAGAACTATTTTATATAGTAAAATCTAAAACCTGTTGCCATTCAAATATATAGAGATATAGTGTAACTATTCAAAAGGGAAAGAACAAAAGTATCAACACATCTGTATATTCATTATGATTTATTAGTTTAATAAATATACTAGATGCCATTATAGTATTTAGAGGACCAAAAATTACCCCTTGAGAGGTTGAATCACAAAGTAACCATTCAAATAAAGGAATGTAACTGAGTACATATGTATGTATTTGATAAGTCTGAAGTTGTGATGATACTGATGCAGTTGCACAAAGACTAATTCAGCCATCTACCTGTACAAAAGAGGTTCAAAAGTGGTTGTCCACATTCAAAGCTCTTGCTTACTTTTTATTGGAGTACTAAGTTGATATTTAGATATCTCGCTGGCGGGACGCCCAGCAATGTTTATCTTTTTCGGGTGTCTTGTATATGGGACACCCGTCACTAATGGGTTAAAGCTCTGAATAATGCATAATTCCTTTCATGGCTGTTGATTACAGCTACGTAGGACAAGTCATTTATGTCATTGCTTGAGGGAGAAATGGAAGTGTAATGTACTGGCAGGCTAATATTATTATAAAAGGGGCAATATTTAACGCATAATCATTTGGTTGCTATCAATAGAAAATGACATACACCAAGTGAAAAGAAAAAAAATCACACTTTGTTGATAAAGATTGGCAAGACCAGTTGAACCTGAAATAAGCCTTGGAGTCAAACCCAGTTGGCTGCACATACTCCCTGAGTAAAGGCCAGGTACTCCCCAAAGTCTGTTAGAGGCATTGGGTTGATATACAATTAGGCAAAGATCACAGATATGATAATTCACAAATATTAATTCAGTCATTTTTAAAAAGTGTTACTGAAAACAGATTGATAATTTAACTAATTAATATTTTTAAAACTAGTCTTATTTTTTTATTCTTTATTTTCTAGGGTCAATCAAACTGGCAGATTTTGGATTAGCAAGAGCTTTTTGTCTGCCTTTGAGAGTGTACACACATGAAGTTGTAACCTTGTGGTACCGTGCTCCAGAGATTCTCCTTGGTGCCAAAAACTATTGTACTGCAGTTGATATGTGGAGTCTGGGTGCCATTTTTGCCGAGATGGTAAGGAATTTCTTCATGTGCAAGTATATATGCTGTGGAGAAAGTGTTTAAAGTTTCAGCAAATTGCTGTTCTCAAATTGTAAAACATAATTAAGACTATTATAAATGGATATAAAATTGGATCAGCATAATATTGTTATACAAACTTAAAAATGACTAATAACTGCTTTCCATCACAGTTGACAAGGAAAGCACTTTTCCCTGGCGATTCAGAAATAGACCAGCTGTTCCGTATCTTCCGTACGCTGGGAACTCCCGGAGAGGAAGATTGGCCAGGGGTGACCCAGCTCCCCGATTATAAGAGTTCATTTCCAAGGTGGGAGGTTGATGCCGAAAGTTCCATAGCCCAGCTGGTTCCATTGTTAAATGAAGAGGGACGCTGCTTACTCTTGGTAATTATGATGTTGATGCTTTTTAAGTCACATAACCGCAGATGTTGGCACGGACAAAGAGAATAAGAGTTTGTGCGTGTATAAATAAATTTACAAATATGCATTGAAAATTTATGAAAAAGATAGTGTTATATTTGCAATTAAGTATGTGTTTATAATTTTAATTTTGAGGTAAATATTTAAAAGGCAGATAAGGTTATGGGACAAGTCTTAAAGGGATTGGCAACATTCCATAATGTATCCTCATTCCTGTTCAATGAAACAATGCCTCCATGACCCTATATAAGCAAACAACCCAAATAGTAGTCCGTAGATAACCTGCATCGTGGAAGTAATCATCCTCACTGCTGCTCTCTGCAAGCTATTACCTTATTAAGTGCTGTGGGGTGATGGTAACTGAACTGAAACCGTCATATTAGAAATAAAAAGATTTTTGAGAAAGAATAATAAGTGTTAGAACCTCACTTTATTTATAATAGTCAGCCACACATTATAGTAGCACACTTTTATATATTAGAGATCATTAGTGTCACAAGTTCAAATAAATTACTCTTGTTTATCTCACTTTTCCAGGCTATGCTGAAGTATGACCCACGGCAGCGAATAACTGCAAAGTCGGCCCTCTATCACCCATTCTTCGAGCCTCTTGCATCTGCTGGCCAAGTGCTTGTCCCGCCAAATCTTAGGTGATCAGAAACTAGGCATTCAAGATTTTTTTTCTATAAGGAGTAATTATGCAAAAAAAAAAAATGTTGCTTATAATTTTTTTAATGTGTATCAAGTGTAGAATTTTGTATGGAGAACCATTTATTTATATGGGTTTATACTATTCTTGCATTTTGATATTTTGACTGTATGTATATATGTCTAGAGTTTTTGGGCATTACTGTGCTTTTTATATAGAATACAAATAGCTTTTTTACCCAGAGTTCTAAGAATCTTTCCTCTTTATATATACTGATATTTGTAAATATATTATATAAGGTCCAAGCTTTTGCGCTTTTATATTGAGAAAGAAAGTTAATTTTACCAAAAGTTCCAGGATCTTTTTCAAGGAAGGGAATTGTTATTTTTGCAAAAAGTTTCAAGTCCTTTATTTTATTATGAAGTCAATTATAAATTGAGAAAACCATGTATTTTTTAAATCTATCAAGTCTGGCTGTGAATATTAGAATAAGAAATAATATTTTACATATTCTTTCATTGACCTAATGTATTAAACTCTTTTTGAGTGTGTGTTTGTGTATGACAATTTAAATTTTTCTTTTCACAATACAAAAATATTGCCTTGTGCCTCAGCCCTTGCCTTAATTAATTTTGCATGGCCTTCTCACCCTGCATCCCTTTCTTCTGTCCATTTCCTAAGGTGAATGAAAGGCTGGCTCTGTGTCAGTCATGAACTGCCTCTGGGAACCATGGGTATGGTATTCCTTAGGTTAATCACTTAGCCCATACCCCTTATGGGGTTGTCCATTTCTTTTTCCCACTTATTTCAGGCTCACCATGGCCATTAATAAAGATGTTTTACCCTTAATTAGGGACATTAAGGCTTGTCCCTTCATCAAATATCTTATTTAAATTTGATTTCATTGGTTTTCTGACCCCCACCTCTCCTTTGGTCACAATAGTGCTATATGACCTTAGATGTCTAGCACATTTAATTTCCTTCAACCATAAACCATTCCTTTGCCTATGGCTCCGACCACTGATCTTAATAACCCCTCCTCAATGTGTATTGACAACTCCATTCTAAACCATCCACCCCAAGCAGAAAGCACCCCTTCCTCTCTCCCAACATTCTCCACTCCATCTACTGTAAAGTCTTCTTTATTAACAACCCCCTTTCCCCTCATTACTACAATTCATCCGTATTGCCCTCCTTCCCACAATACTACCTCATCCCAAACCACCCCATCTTCCTCCTGCCCTCGTCCTTTTACTACCTCCACCTCTGCAGACCTATTGATTACTCTCTCTGGCCCTGCAAAGTGGGATGATTCTTTGTGATTCCCCCTACAGCCCCTTACTTTAACAGTACCCTTCTCTTCTAACGATGTCCAAAAACAAGAAGCAAAGTTTCCTTTTGCAGTTATTCTGATCGGTCTTGCCTTGTGACAGTTACGTTGGAGTACCAAGCTTGTGCAGTATCCACCCTGACTGACCTCATTGGCAAACCTATTCCTGCCGAACCTCGCTCCTCTCTTAATACTTGTACCAGAACTATTTCTGTCTCCTTGACTGTTTGCCCTATGAACAACAAAAAATGGTGTTGTATATATCATTGACCATGATGCAGTGGAAGTACAGTGCTACACTATTCCTCCCTGAGGACAGCATAAGTCTTGCACCAGTATTGCCCAGATTAGTTTCCTTAGACATGACCTCCCCATGAAGTTTATATGGATAGTGTGTCCTGCCCCATCCAACCTTACAACCCCCTTCCTTGTTAGTGCCAGAAATGTTGGCATTTTGGCCACCTAGCCAAACACCCAGCCTGCTGCCCATTAAGTGCCTGACCATTCAAATTGTGCCCATGTTTGGCATTTACTTGAATTAAGTGCTGGTTATGCAAATTGCCCTGCTCTGAAGGTGCCAACTGCGGTGGCTCCCATACTGAATTTTATAGGAGCTGCCCTGCTTACAAGCTCAAATCTGAGGTAGCAGTTCTCGGATTCAAACTAGGCCTCACTCTACTTGAGTCTAGATAGGAGACACAACAACAAGGTTTTTCTCTCTTGTCTAATCTAAATCAGTCCTCCACTCTGCTTGACCCCATCTTCAAAAGACGTCTCTGCATCCCCCCCCCCCAGTATCTCTTATCTCTACTTCTCCTCTCTCCCAGTCAAATTTCTTTTCCAATCTAAATCCAGATACTCTAATCTCTACCACTTCTTCAATGCCTACCCCTCCTCCTCCTCACTTGACCTGTCGCACCAGACAACTTAAACATTCAACTCCATTTTCGCCTTCCACATCCTCTCCTATAATCTCCTTTTCCTCTGCTCTTTGAACATCCATCACTTCTCCTCAAGAAATCCTTTGTTTCCCAGACCTCCCCACCCAAATCACCTCCAGATACTCTTGATGAAGACCTCCAAAAATTTCTAGATATGACCCAAGAAAATGTTCTGCTCCCTTGTCCACCCTCCAATCCCTCTGATCGTAGTCCCTCTACATTCAAAGTATTTGGCGATATCCATCCTCCTTACCCGTCTCTCTTCTACTCTTTCCCAACAAATCCCATCATGTACACCATCCTTCTTCATTTCTCAATATCCTTACCTCTCCCACCTGGAGACTCACAGCCATGGCATGTACATACATGCCATCCGGCAGCTAGTTGTTAACCATCACAAGGGCCAAAGAGGTTTCATTTGAAAGACCAAAAGCAGCACTGAAAGAGTTTAAGAGGGACCATTAAAATGGTATAAATGACATTTTGAAAGGGTGAAAAAATCAAATGAAGAGCCAAAGGTCCACCACCCTTGGAATGGCCAAAGGGGCACCGTCATCTAGGTAGTGGCAGTGCTACTGAAAGAAGTTAGGTTGATTTACAAATTCTAAATTAGGATGGGAATAAATTACAACATTACTAATCAAATTTTTATTTTTTTTTTGCATAGGAGGCAAAAAAGGACTTTGTAGAAAGATTATACCTGTAAGAAACTACTTTCGTTGAACTAAAAGCATTATCATTACATCTCAGTACAAATGAGACATGCTGGGTTAAGTAACTATTCATATTACAAGAAAAGGAGAAATCCTAATTAAACTTAAAGTAATGGTTGATGAAACTGTTGCCAAAAATGAGTAAGTGGCAACTACTAACATCAAATTTTACAATATAATTTCCAAGGCCTTTCTGATGCTACTGAAGACAGAATGGAGATGTAGTAATCAAAATTTAATTTTGTATAGCATGAATAGATATATTTATCTAATAATATAACCTTGCTTTCATTAATCCAGAGAGGTATAATATGTATTTTATATGTAATGCCATGAAATATCTTAATTTTGCCATAGTTTTTAATTTTTCATTCCTCAATTCAAATAATGTTACATATTTCATACTGCATATAAATTCCAACCACCCAATGTAAATTCATCAAAAAATTAAAAGCAAATATTACATAATCTTTGGCCTTTATGATAAAATACAGTGCATCAAATATTATTACTAGGGAATCTTGAAAGTGGACATAATATTCAAACCAGCTGCAGTTCAGCAATTATTCAACCTTAAAATTCAGTTTGCTTTTATGCAAAAAGAAAGATAAAAAAATAATAATAATTATAATGAAAAATCTGCAGAATGCAACTCTAGTAATGCACATGTTAAATTCTAACCAAAACTTAATATATTACAACCCAAATCTTTGGTATGATGTATATTTCTCTTTTGAGAAAGAATGGAACTTCAAATCTGCTATGTGGTATGTCAGAAAATATATACATCATATAGTGAACTATAAATGCACTTTTAATCCATCATACAAATGCATATATGAATTTATATTTTTCCCTTTTTTGTACTAATTACATTTTAGCACTTGTGAAGGCACTGGGATCAAATATGTAAAGTACAGTATATGTTTTCCAACAACAAAATCTTTTTGCAAAGTGTTCTGATGCCAAGCAATATCTCAGACTTAACTACTTGCATAGCCAACTGCAATACTTAACAAGAAATATATATTAAGATAATAAAAGTGGACATGGCAGTAATTAAAAACTGCTTCATAAAAAATACATAAATATCAACAATAATAACAATAACAACAGGAATAATAATATTAATAATCAAACACGAACAATTAGCTGCTACTCAAATTAGAGCTATTTTTTCTTAAATCTTTACGACAAAGATAACATAACAACAACTGATTTACATTAATAAACCTTTACATGAATTTACAATCAACTATTTTCAACAACATACTCAAAAAAAAAAAAAAGTGGAATGTTACCATGACAAATATGACATTAAAAAAAAAAAATAGAAAGAGTATAATATTACTGAAAAACAAACTGCTTCCAAATTTATCAAAATCAATAATAAAAATAACCAGCAACCATTTTTTCTTTAATTTACAGATCTTCCCTTGTGTTAGTTTAAATGTATAAATGACATGAACCTGAGTAGGACAGAAACAAGGGAAGATCTTAAATCCTTTATACCAATAAAACGAGCAGCCAAGATATCCTTGTACACTATGGCATAGGGTGAGTTGTACTGCTTGTGATTCTAAGATTTAAATGTGTGGAGATCAAATTTCTTTTAAATTCATTGATAACCAATGACAGTTTCTCAGATTATATTTTTATGATTATCATTCTCTTTCTGTGTGTGTGTGTGTGTGTGTGTGTGTGTGTGTGTGTGTGTGTGTGTGTGTGTGTGTGTGTGTGTGTGTGTGTGTGTGTGTGTGTGTGTGTGTGTGTTGTGTGTGTGTGTGTGTTGTGTGTGTGTGTCTGTGTCTGTCTGTGTGTCTGTCTGTGTCTGTCTGTGTCTGTCTGTGTCTGTGTCTGTCTGTGTCTGTCTGTGTCTGTCTGTGTCTGTGTCTGTGTCTCTGTATGTGTACTATGTGTATACACCACACACACACACACACACACACACACACACACACACACACACACACACACACACACACACACACACACACACACACACACACACACACACATATATATGAAATTGATTATCAATTAGTTCCATTGAAAAAAAAATCTCCAAGTTCAGTAATGAAAAAGGAAGCATTTCATTTCAGAGAATTAATGTAAATATAAATTGCACTATTCTCTAAAAAACATCCCTTCTAAAGTCAATACACTATAGTATAAAGTACTAAAAAAATCAAAAGCAATGAAGACTTTACCTTTGGCAATATATCTGGAAGCAATCTTAAAAAGGCAATAAAATGCAATGGCCTATTCAAACCATAAGCCTTGTTAAGTAGAAGTCAGTATATTAATAATCTACAGAGAAAAATATTACAATGATATTTCAAAAATGCAAAGCCAAGCTAGGACAAAATTCACCCTTTATATCATTATTACTATTACCATTTTGTCACAACCTTTCACTGATTTCCTCAAGAAAATAATGTACCTGGTGGCATATATGACATACTCTAAGAAAAAAAGTCCCACAAACTAGCCTGGCTCCTATTCATAAAGGAAGGGCCTCTTTCTCTCCTGAATATGCCCTTTTGAAATGAGTGTGCATTTATTATGCCTGTGTGTCGTATATGCCATCAAATGCAGTATTCTTTTGCTTTCCAAAATGATTTTTCTAAATTCTCACAATTTCCCTGATCCATTTTGGGGATGTCTTACTTGGTATCTTTCATTAGTGAAGCTTCAAGGTGATCAAAACGTTCCACCATTGCAGTGTAGACCTGTAATAAAATTTTGTGAAAGGAACTGATGAGTGTCTAACCTGGCAATGATGGAGGAGGTGAGGGAAGACCTAGAAGAGGTAGAGGAGAAGGAAGAGACAGACAAGCAGCAACAGCAGCAGAAGGAGGAGGAGGAAGAGAAAGAAGAAGATGAAGATAAGAAAAAGAACAAGAAGAACAAGCACAACAAAAAAGAAAAAGATAATAGTATGATGATTAAAAATTCTGAATACCCATACTTATAGCTGCTGAAGGCAGTCAGATAAATGAAGGTATTTTTTGGCAGCTCTGTATTGTCAAAAGTACACTTTCCAAGTAATCTCATGGACTGTGTGAAAGTCACCCCACTGAAATTCAAGACAGAAAGGGGGGTCATCATGAACACCCCCGTCAATCCATGCTAATGCCTGTGAAAACCATGCATTACTT